CCAAATCTACAAGTTTTCCTACTTTCACTGTATTCAACAATTGTGTCCCCAACACAGCCATTAGTTCTGTCATGTCCAGGAAAGGTAGGACCAAATGGTTATCCTCATTAAGTGGAATGTGGTGTGGTCTGGCAGGAAATTCACAGTGTCCAGTTATGTTTTTGTACTAGGCAGAGTGGTTAAAAAGACAATGAGATCAGAGAATAAAAATGTTCTGTCTGAAACTGTCTGGAGGTGGGGGGAAAATCCCTGAAAATATGGGAAATGTGCATGGAATCTGCCTTATGCAGACACACTCACTTAATTCCCACACACACAGAGCGTTTCTATTTAGGCAGGACTGGTCGCACACTGCGCTTAACTGGCAAGGAAAGCTGCCGCTTAATTAGCACAACAGCTCTGCAGCGACGCCTGCTGTCAAGAGCGGGGAAGAGGCGGAGCGGCAAAGCAAATTCCATGTGGCATGGTCCAGGAATACCAGGAAGGAGGGGGACCCAATTATGCCCCTGTAAACAACGTTTCAAATGATGATGACTGACGGTTGGATTCCAAAAGATCTCCTGGATGGAAAATGAGTGCAGGGAAAGCGCCCCAGAGGGAGACCCCAGCTGCGATACAAGGAGATCTGCAAGTGGGATCTGGCGGCCTTAGGAATGCACGTCAACAGATGGGGCACCCTGACATCTGAGCGTTTAGCCTGGAGCCAGGCAGTGCTTCACGGCCTCTCCCAATTTGAAGAGACACTTGTACAGCAGGCCGAGGCAAAGAGGCCATCCCGAAACCAGCCAAATCAGGGAGCTGGACAGGGGACAGATTGTATTTGTCTTCCATGTGGAAGTGATGGTCACTCTCGTATTGGCCTCCTCAGCCACATTAGACGCTGTTCCAAGACCTCTATTCAGAACAGGTGATCATCGTCTCTCGAGACTGAAGGATGCCTACAGATGGTCCAATCTCTCATTAAAAGCTGGATTTATTTAGGATTCTATCTCCCACCTCGTCTGTTTTTCAAGGGAAATCCCAAAGGGCTGGCAGTCAATCCTTCACAAAAATACATTTGGCACATGAGGAGAAAACCACAGGGATGACCCAAATGCTTCTTTAAACTAAAGACGTTTTTGCTTATCTTTGAAAAGGGTAACGTGGGTCCCAAGAGTGTCCTTAACAGGAATGGGTAGACCTTGCTACTCAGGCACCAGGACATTTTTATTCTGGAGCGATGAAACGTGGGCAAGACTTGTCAACAGATCATTACAACAAAGTGGCTCCATGAGGACACACAGCAAGAAATGCTTACCCACTGGAACCTGTCTCTAGGTGTAGTGAAAAGAGTTGTATGGGATGGCGAGCAATAGCCTCAGAGACCTCCACGGGTCCAGAAAGAAATGCAAGTATGAAACATCAGCCAATGCAGTGGCCTTCAAGCTTGGACCCATCAGATGTGTTGGATTGAAACTCAGATTCCCCCAGCATTGCCTCTGCGGTTGAGCTTTTTATGAGCTGCAAGTTCAACGTTTCTAGAGGACTGAAAGTGAAAATCAGCCAAGCCTGCGGAACTGCAAGACATTGGAAAAAACTGGGTAGTCCAGTTATGACCTAATACTAAGAAGCTGCCTGTTTGCTTCTGCTACATTCAGGAAGGCATGTGACATTCTTTTTTTTCCCCCTCTCTTTTTGGAGCCCAAATTCTCCACTTCCCAGACCCACACATAAATCATGCTCACCTGGGGAAATGCTGGGCTGGAAGGGCTAACGGCTTAGTATTTGGGGTCTCCCCCACAAACAATACAAAACCCAGGAATCCAAATACCACAGGTGCTCACTCTAGCTACTGATCAGAGTCAGAAAACAAGCTCTCCAAGCCAAGATTCAGGTACAAACACGTACGCTCTTCGCCTACCACTGACCATCTATCCTGTCCACACTGAGTGGGACCTCATCCTGGATTCAGGTGTTCTGTGCAATTCACCAAGAACATGGACTGGCCACCTGTCAGTCAGATGACCAGCTGTGGCTGCTGGTATCTAGAATCATCGTCATCACCTTTAGAACTGCAGAACTGGAAGGGACCCTGTGAATCATCCAGCCCAGCCCTTGTCAAGGAGGGGAATCGAAATCCCAACCTCTGTCTCTGCAGCCAGATGCCTAACCACTGGGCTATCCCCAAACTAGGAAGGATAGCTAAAATACCACAGACAGGAACTACACATTTTCAGAAGGCCTTTCCTGATAGGAAATCTGAATGGTGTTTGCCACCTTGTGTGCTAAACTACAATGGTGCCCCACATAGCGAGGTTAATCCGTTCTGGATTAACCTTCGTTATGGGGAAACATCGCTAAACGGACCGGAAACGCCCACTGGAATGCATTAAACTTTGTTTAATGCGTTCCAACGGGCCCCAACCTCACCGTTGAGCGAAGTTTCCCCATCCAGCCGCCATTTTCGCGCCGTCAGGAAGCGAGGGCAGGGCGCAAAAACACTGCACGCGGCCATTTTGGGTGTTCCGACGGCCATTTTGGAACCGCCAATCAGCTGTTCGCTCGACATCGCAATGCGAAGATCGGTAAGCGAAACGCTTACCGATCTTTGCAAAGTGGTTTTTGCCCTATTCAAACATCGGTATGCAATCGCATTAGCGATCGCAAAATCCGCATCACTATGCGGATTCATTGTTAAACGGTGCGCTCGTTATGCGAGGCACCACTGTAGTTAGTGTGAAGGTACTATATTGGTTACTGAAAATTTCATCAATTTGAGCATGTTCTGAACCCCATCCCCACAACCTGGAAGGACTTTTCCGAGGTGTCACTGTGGAACAGCTGCTTGGGACATCTGCCCCCAGAAGAATTATGACAATTCCTTTTCCCTAAAAGTTGGCAATATTCACTGCTTGGACATTATTCATTCTTGATCTGATACTTCTAAGACACTTCACTTAAATTATGTCCTCTTAACACAGCTTCACAAACTTAATTCCATTGCTGGCAACTCATCGTGGAAACTTTCAATAGAAGTGACGCAGAAGTTGCCGAGACGAGTCCAGTGTGTCGGAGCCTCTCAGAAATGCACTTCGCTCCAGCGTTCCTCCGCTTTGCTAAACAAAGACCGTCCCAGGTCCTTCAACACAGCCAAGATGTTAGGGTTTACCAATACGCTTCCTTTACTACAATGAGCAAAATTACTCTTAAAGCCCCCAGGAACGGAAGATTTCACAGAAGAGTATTTACATCCAGTCAGCAAAGCTACTACTGCTCTCCACACCCCAAGTGCTATAAGCAGATATTGTGCACCAGAATTTAAGTCAAGTCACTCAATTATGTTAGACCAGTGGTCCCCATCCTTTTTGACACCACAGATCAGTTTAGCATCCGTGCGCATGTGTATGTGTGGTGGGCCGTGCATGCATGTGTCCATGCATGCAGGAGGGGCATGCATGCGTCTATGTGTGCAGGAGATCTGTCTCCGCAGCCCGGTTCTGCCAAGGCCACAGACTGGGACCAGTCCATGGCTAGGGGGTTGGGGACCCTGCGTTAGACAATGGGTTTGTATTCTAACCAGGGTGTATCTGATTTAAATCAAATTCATTTAAATCACAATGTCAATTTTTTTAAAAAAACTGGATTTTCTGAGTTTAAATATTTTTTTTAAAAAAATTAAATCATGATTTAAATCAATTAAAAAAACTATTTTAACTGATTTTTATCCACCCTGTATTTTTTTTAAAGAATCACAACATTCTTTAATGGGAAGGTTTAAATAACAACAGGTGACATTCTCAAAATATGATCAATGGCCCACGATTATTCCTCTTCTTTGGCAACCGGCCACTTCAAGAGAGTGTTGGGTGCACTTTGCACGATGTGCCCATTTCCATGAGGGTGACAGGGAGGGCCAGTGCAGGGGATCCATGTCTCACTGGAGACAACAGCACAAACGCAGATCTCCACCACAAGACTAAAGTCAAAAATTCCTGATCTCCCAGAGAGGGAAAAATGAAAAACCAACAAGGGTCAGTTGCCAAGACGTTGACTTCATTTTAGGCCATCAAAGGGTCTCAGAGGAAGCAAATATTGCTGCTCTACAGAATATTTGATCTCACTGAAAAGGGAACAGCAGGCCATTCTCAGCAAGAAAGAGAGAAATGGCTTTTTGAAGCAAGAATCCACAGTCAGTCCAAGACTGGAGAAAAACATGTTTTTAACCATATTTCATTTTATTGGCTTTCAGGCGTGTTAAATAGGACTCAACTTGTCACCTCAGAAGGTGTTGAGCTGGAAATCCACAATTAGATCTGAACAAGTGGAGAGCTGGACCAGTTGTTAAGAAATCGACCGTGCACAGCAGAGAAACAAAGAGCCGAGCGGTCATAATCCATTATTCCAGACAAACACATCAGCTTTGGACACCAACCTAATCATAGGGCTGAGGTGCAGCTATACCATTTTCAAGCCATCCTCTTGACACAGCCGAAGTTAAGGACAAATGCACACATCAACAACTACTCCGTGACCATCTGACACTATTTCAGGAGCGATTGGGCCGTGGCGCTCTTACTCACAAGAATGCTGCTGTACCTGACAGATATGAATCAATCCCTTTATTTCTGAGGAAGATTTCTGAGTGATCCAACACCTTGTAAGTTCTTATTTCAACATAAATGGTTTATTCAGCTTAGCCCCGTTGCCTCTTTCCTCCTGCACTTCTTATTCTAACGCAGCAGGAAAGCAGTTCACAGACCAGTTCACAGAGGATGGCATGCCACTATTCTTGGAAACAAAGGCACCAGCCAAACAACCCTTTTCTAAGAAGCACACACGCATCTGCCATTGACAAAACTACACAAAAGATCAGCGGTAGCTTTTACTGCTGACTTATACTTATATAGGGGTCCAACAGAGACCAAGTTCACATTCAGGGAAATCCACATGCATTAATCTTTAGAGCAGCATCGAATAAATTTTACAGGAAACTACAGAGCAGGCCGAAAGAGAAATGGTACCTGAACAAAATGAAACCCAGCGATTCAACAGCGGCCCGTCTCACATCGTCATTGACATCGCTAACCTAGTCAACAAAGAAAAAAGAGATGTCAGGGTATATAGCGAAACACGCACAGAAAAATTCTCTCCTAGAAGGCACTTCATGAGTGTGAGATTCACATGTATCAGTCCTCCAGAGTGTCCTTCTTGATTTTCCAGCTGGAACAAGATTACAAGGCAGCTCTGAAAGAGGAGAGACCCATCCTTTCTGATGAGCCACAACCAGAAAGCAGTGCTAAGCAAGTGCCTCCACTCTATGTTTTTTGGACTTACCCTATTCACCCAACATTTTAGGAGTCTTTTTAAAACAGGCTTTTGATTTTCTGCTCCTCTATCAACTTTTGTTGCTTTATTTTGTACTGAGCCTTTTTGATGCACTGTTTCACCTGCCAACCATTTTGCAAAGCTACACGGCCTTTTCACACAAAGCTTCTGTGTCTACCCCCAAAAAAACCCTAATACAACTGCCAGCCCATCATATGCCTTTTTATTTGGAAATATCCATTAACATGACAAAGCTACTTTAACTGGGCCAAGCAAGAACAACCTGTCTCTCTGCTGTTCTCTACTGTTACGCTTGTGGAATACTAATAGCCACTTAAGCCGGTTATTTCTTTCATTCACGGCCGCAATGCAATGATAGAAACCTTGATTTCTGTGGCCCAAAGAAACACAGAGGAATAAAAACATCAAACACAAGTTATGCTACACATGATTTCTGAAAATAAATAATTATCATGTACACCCTGCTCTTATTTTTTCTGTACGTAAGGCAGAGAAGTATTTATACAGCTAGTACAGCCTGGGAGCACAGGACTATACGTATGGGGACCTATGAGGCTGCTATGACTTCCAGCCTCTGTTCTCTTTAAATGTGTCACCTATAGGTTAATCTCCAAACCAATGTGGATAAGGATGCTGCTGGAACATCCACAATCAATACAGACATCATACTAAGCCATGATTAAAGAAGCCTAAATATTTGCCCTGAAGCCTGATTGAATGAACTGTGCTTAGCAATTCACATTCTCAAGTTCACTTTTAAACCAGGACATCTGCTATCTACTGATCTGTCATAAGATCTTAACCCACAGACTTGGGAATGAATCTATTCAGTAAAGTGCTGCAGGAAATGGAAATAAAAGCAGGCAAGCAGTTCAAAACCCTATGCCTGGCTTGTTTCATGTTTGGAAACGTAAACCCTTCTAAACCATGATTAGTACCAATCATGGCTTGGCAAAAAGTCGGCCCTGGCTTCCTCACCAGAGAGTTATGCACCTGATGGTCCCATTATCTATTCCAGAATCTGAAATACTTACAGCAACGTGCAACAGGCGCCGGATGGCCTTGTTGTTTCCCGAGCCACAGTATGCCATTGCAACCGTGTACATCCCAGAACGACGAAGGATGGGATCCTGCAGGAGGCAGAACACAGCAAACTTTAAATTTCTATTTATTTCCCAAAAAAGGGGCAGGTCTATCAGCTAGAGTTCAGAGGTACCGTGCAAATATCTGAGATGTGTTTTGCACTTGCTGGAAAGAACTTCTTCAAAAATGCTGGGGTTCTGCTGCTAATCAATGTGAATAAGACTGCGGACAACATGCAGCAGGACACCCAGATGAAGCAGCAGCCAGACTGAGTTTAAGGCAGATCCCCAAAAGCTCTGTTTCAAATTCTTTTTAACACTTGTTTTTCAAGTTGGAAAGGTGCTTCTGACTATAAAATAACACAAACACCAAACTGTCCATTCAAATGTCCGATGGAAGTCACCAGAAAAGACTACGTACAATGCGGTAGGGCCAATGCATTTTAGATTCATTTAAATATATGCCTGAACCACTAGTAGAAAGCTGTTCAATAAAGACTTCTCTTTCAGTATTCAGATTCCTAAACTTAACCTCTTCAACATGAGATTATAATTAGCATTTTAACTACACCGTAGGCTCAGATTTGCCACAGCAAAATTAAAGCTATTTCTCTAATGAAAGCTCAACCACATCAGAGAGTCCAATATAACTTCAGAGAGCCAATAAATATTCCATGCTCTATGTCTGTCAACAACCAAATGATGCTTGGGATTGAAACTTCTCTCCCCGCCATTACTGGAGCTGAAGGCCAACAAATTTAGAGGGTGCCAGCTTGCCAAAAAAANNNNATTAATAATTTCTGCTTGATACTTGTGTTTCTTGTTGTCAAGCAAGAAAGTAAAATGTAAATACTCTAAACTGGTGCCCTGATCTTGCAAAAATTAAAAACCCTTTAGTACCTCCATCTCAGCCCCTGCTTGTTCGCCTTCCTTCTACTTTTTCCTCTTCCAGATACCCTTCCTTTCTCACAGATCTTTCTCTCCCTGCATCCTGATATATATAGTCTTCGTTTCCGTCTGCCCATTCCCTTTCGTCTCACTGAATCAGGCAGTAGCATCACTTTCTCTCTCTCCATTTGTCCCCTAACTGTTTGGGGACCCTACAGAGAGCAGCACCAACTGCAGCTGCCCACAGGCCCTCCGGGGAAATGGGTGCAGAAACACAGAATCACGAAAGCCATTGGGTCCAAACCCACCCCCAGCCCTTGCTTAATGCCTGCTTGCTGCCCCATTCCTAGGGAAAGTGAGGGGGTCTATTTCTTTCTCTGACCTCTATCCTGATTTTTTCCCCAGTCAGGTGGGGAATGAACTGCCACTTAGGGATGTCTGCCACTTAGGGCAGAGAGAAACCTTGTTAGCACTAGAAACAATCAGTGATAGGAAAGGAGAACCTTTAACTCACGAAAGCACTTGAGTGTCACTGCAGGAGCTGCTCTCCCTTCCTGCAGTATGCAAACTAGTTTGCTGTGCTTAGGGACTGGTTTTCAGGACTTAAGCATGGGATCCCTTTTAAATCGTATTTAAATCTTGTTCTGCAAACCTAAAAGATAGCCTCTGCCTTGCCTTTCCACTCTAATAAGGGGCTAGTCTATCTGATTCTGCTCCTGGTCACTAAAAATAGCACAGCAAGTTACAGGCGTAGTTTAATTATTAAAGTTAATCAATCCATCAATCAACCACCTAATAAAGCATGCTCCTGGGATCTACTTTGATGACGATCCTCTGCCTCCAAGTCCATTCTGACTTATGGCAACCCTTTTGAGAGTTTCCCAGGTATAGTAGAGTAGAGCAGTACAGTACTCAGAAGTGATTTACCTTCTTTCTGGGGGTTGGGGTTAACCTGGGACTGTGCAGCTTGTCCAAGGCTATGCAGGTTGGCTTTACCTGCAGCAGAACCTGAACTCCCAACCGTTGGTTCTGCAGCCAGAGACTTAAATCACTCAGCAATCCAACCTGCCATATCGACTTCAGCATGAAAGTTTCAGGTAGGTGTCACACTCTTGGAACTAGGGTAGTGGCAGACACAGGGTAAAGGTAAAGGTCCCCCTTGACACTGAGTCCAGTCGTGTCCTACTCTAGGGCGTGGCAGTGGCAGACACATGGTAAAGATTCCCCTTGACATTTAGTCCAGTTGTGTCCTACTCTAAGAGCTGGTGCTCATCCCCGTCTCCAAGCCGTAGAGCCAGCATTTGCCCATAGACAATCTTCCCTGGTCACGTGGCCAGCACGACTAGACACGGAACGCTGTAACCTTCCCACCAAGGTGGGACCCATTTATCAACCCGCATTTTTTACGTGCTTTCAAGCTGCCAAGTTGGCAGGAGCTGGGACAACCGACGGGAGCTCCCTCTGTTGCGTGGATTCGATCTTCCGACCTTGCAGCACAGAGGCTTTTGCGATTTAATCCGCAGCGCCACCACGTCCCCTAGACACATGGACCCACATCCTATTCCATGATGGCAGTCCAACAAGCACCAGTGCTGAGTCTTTTGGACCCTTCGTTGAAAAGCTGCAGGTTTTGGAACAGTGCTAGTGACAGCTCCCTAAAGAACAGCTCATCTTGCAGTCCTACCTTATCTCTGCAGAGGCTCTCTATGAGGGCGTCTGCCTCCTCCATCCGCCCATACATCACCAAGGCAATGCCAACAGCCAGGCCCCGCAGAATCTTTTCATGCTGGGTTTCTTGGGCATAGCCCACCATGTCCTCGATGGCCTGGGCATTTTTTGATCCTAGCATCACCAGCCCTAAAGCCAGACCAGCTGCCTCGCCTGCAGCACAGAAAGAAACAGAATAAAAAGAGGATGTCCGGATCTCAGCACCTTCCCTGTTTCCCAAACGTGCAACAGTAAAAGATAAGGGTGTCGCTGACACATCAAAATAGAAACAATCCCATTTTTTTCCTGGTGCAAAGGCAGGAAAGGTCTTAGGATTCATAGCATCATGGCGCTGGAAGGGGGCCTCGAAGGCCACCCAGTCCAACCCCCTGCTCGAGGGAAGATTCCAAATTTATTTATTTATTTATTGAATTTATATTCCTCCTAGTCAATAGACTACTCTGGGTAGCGTACAACATATAAAATAAACAATTTAAAATATAACAATAAGGCATCATAATCAAACTGATTCAAGATGGAAAAGGTAATACCTCATCAGAGCAGATCGGACAGAGGGGGGTTCCGTTTTCTCTTAAAGGTCTCCAGCGTTTCAAAAGCGAAAGCCACAAAATCGGGGCAGACACTGGGTGAGAAAAGATGCGGCTGCACAAAGCAAATCAGAAATAGGATTTGGAACGGCTGAGAAAAGCCAATGTTTGAAAATATTAAAGCATTCATATTAAAACAAGACTGTAAATCAACCTCGTTTCAATGGTTTTCCCCAATTCTCATGGGAAAACCTGTAGCTTATGGGTTCACTTCATAGATATGACTTATTTCTGGGCTCTGCAGCCTCAGGCAGAATAGGACACTGGTGATGTGCCTCCTTCTGAATCCCAAAACAGAAACTTTGCACATCAGTGTGAAGGCTTTAAGCTCCGTCCTCTGCCCAACACACTTGTCTCTGGTGTCTAGAAATGATCTTCCCTATCAACCCTTATGTGTGGAGTCAGGCGCAGGGCTACCGCCTAGTGAACACAAGCCTTCCTCCTCTTGTGCAAGGGTGTGCATACACAGACCTTCCTCTTAAGAGCAGCTGCTTACCTGTCACGGCATCATCCTGGTACAAATTGGTCTTCAGGAGGTCATAGACGTCCTGGCGCGCTGTCCCCATGGCAGCCAAACCAAGTCCCAGGCTCCCCCCATGTCGGACGATCTACGAAAAAGGGAAAGCAAAATATTGGCATATTCTTGAAGGCCCGCACTCAGTGTCACAGAGAGTCCAGACAGATCACTCATCAGAAACCCTCTTTACTTCAATATTTGGTTTTGCAGATTTTATTCTGGACTTTCTTTTAGGAAATATGCAGCAGGTTTAGGTACTCACGAAGAGTTACAGTACTTTCACTATGTGTTTCCACTCCATTCTTGCTGTAGCAGAATTTTCAACAACTGAGAAGTGGAAACCCCAGTAATAATGCATTGGAAATGGAGAATTCCACTTCTTAGTAGAGCTTATTTGCTTCGGATAATTTATCTTATTGAACCTGCTATTCACTATAACGTCCATGGCAACAAACGTAATCTTGCAGGGGATACTCAACAACCCAAGACTATCCAGCTACCCTAAAGCGTTTTCTTCCCTGTGCATTCCTAGGAGACCCTACGTACATCATTGCTGGCATTCTTCAGCTGATTCAGCAGGTAGTCTATGATGTCACCTCCGTGATTGGCATGGATGAGTCCCAGGGCATAAAGTCCCCCGCCTTCCTGGTAGGCAGACCCTGGAGATGTGTCTTTCGGGAGGTACGTTGCCATCAGTTGAAGAGCTTCCTTCTCGTGGCCCTGGAAATTCAACCAAAGGAATGAAGGGGAAAGACATGAAGAACTGAAGCGTCACATCCTCTCTGCCTATCAATTAGGAATAACCCATCTGCTTCGGAGCAACATTTTTAGCTAGAAACCTCTGCTTTCCTGAATATGGACTTGAATTTCTTCTTACCTCAACATTTGTTAAAAGGTTCCCCTTGACATTTAGTCCAGTTGTGTCCGACTCTAGGGGGCAGTGCTCATCCCCATCTCCAAGCCATAGAGCTAACGTTTGTCCAAAGACAATCTTCCCTGGTCACGTGGCCAGCGCTACTAGACACGGAACACCGTGACCTTCCCACCGTGGTGGTACCTATTTATCGACTCCCATTTTTACATGCTGTCTGACCCCCAAACGTTGTGACCTCAGACACCAGGAACACAGTAGGAGTGGGCAAAATGAAAATTAAATACATCAGGGCCCCCATATCCACGGACTCATTTATCTGTGGATAAAAATATTTAAAGAAAAAAAATCCAGGAAAAAAAATCATATGCATTACTAGAACTTGTGGAAGAAAACACAGAATGATCTCTGATGCCCTCTAGTGGCCAGTTCTGGTCATGCATGAGGAGATCATTTTTCTGGATTATTTTGTTGTTCTATTTACAATGTTCATTATTATCCACAGTTTTCAGCGTATGCAGGGGGCTCGGGACCAATCCCCCGTGGATACGGGGGTCCAACAATAGTACAAAGAGATTATCCAAGCTGCTTCCGCAGACTGATTTAATCTGCTTTCTGGTCCAAACAGAAACAGCAGAAGTAAAGTGGTGCCTCGCTTAGCGATTGCCTCGTTTAACGATGTATTCACGTAGCGATGAGGTTTTAGGAGTGATCTTGTGCTCCGTTTAGCGATGTTTCCAATGGGGGAATTTCACATAGCGATGTTCGGGACCTTGCTTCGCTTAGCGATGACAGTTTAGGTCCCCCTGTTTCGCTTAGCGATGTTTTTGACAGGTCCATTTTCGCTATTTTTAAAAGGTGTTAAATTGTTTAAAAAGGGTTTAGAGTGCTTGAAATCGTTAGTGCACTTAATAAACCCTTTGTTAACCAAATTTGGCTTCGTTCTGGCTCTTTTTGAATTTTTGGTGATTTTTTTTTCTCCCCCATTGAAATGCATTGAAAAGGTTTCATTTCATTCCAATGGGGGAATCGCGTTTCGCTTAGTGATGTTTCCTATGGTGATTTTCACTTAAGGACGGCAATCCGTTCCCATTGGAACGGATTATCCGGATTTCAATGCATCTCTATGGGAAAACACGTTTCGCTTAGCGATGTTTTCCCATAGCGATGCATTTTTTTGAACCAATTAAAATCGTTAAGCGAGGCACCACTGTACTTGGTCTTACAGAAGGCTCCCTGAGGTCGATCGAAAGGGAGCTCTTCCTAGCACAGCAGGTCTACTTCAGAGCTTAAGCGGATCTCTGTGTTCAGGGGAACATGAAACTGGGGACAGGCAGCAAGCCAAATGTAGCACCAAAGTGGTCATAGGAAGATAGTCTCGATTATCCTTATCTGAACAGTGTCAAAGATACTGCTATGAACCCATGAACTAGAAACAGAGGGTTTTAGAAAAACTGGTATATTAAGAAATGAGGCCTCATTTGCACAGGTGGGTTGTTGCAGACAAATTGGCCTGAACAAAACTTAACTGTAACGGCAACAGAAACAAACACAAAACTTGAACGTAAAATTCAAAAGAAGACTTAACACAGGAGGTTTCTTTGCTAGTCCGGATAATTTAATCACAGCAAAGCCCTGTCTGCTTTGACTTGGGGCCATTCTCTTGCCCCAGACCTCCTATCCAGGAAAATCCCAGGTCCCCTGTCATTTCCGGAAATAGATTCCGAAGGGAGCCCGCTTCCTCCCAGGAGGACAGACAATGAACTCTCTATGGACAACTCTTCAGGGTTAGAAGAAAGGATCAAGACTTCAATACTGAGTGCTCCCACTACTGCGTCCAGGCAGAGATCGTCAGCAATGGACATGGCTTATCATGCCATCTCAGCCTGACGGAGCGGGGTCAAAAAGTACCTGGCCTCAAAAACTATCCCGACATGATCATCAAAGAGTTAGATAAGGGCAGGGCTGTGGTTGTCACAGAAAAGCGTAGCTGTGCACAGGAAGCGGGGGCTCTGTCGTCCAGCGCTACACTTCACCAGCAACTCACTGCAGAGCCAAATGCCAAAGATCAAAGGGAATTACAAAATCTTATGAAAGATTTCCCGGGAAATGCTGTATTTTTCCGTGTATAAAAGGAAACTTTTTGTTTAAATAATGTAAGAAAAAATTGAGGGTTGTTTTATACAAGGAAGGCAGCTCTTTATCGCTGCCTTTTGCGAAGACAAAAGGGGAGGTGTTGCTCTCTTCCTTTTTTTGCTAAGCTCCGTGACTTCTCAAAAGCCAAGGGCACATGCATGGGCTTAGCAAAAAGGAAAGGGAATCTTTGCTCCCTTCCTTTTTGCTAAGTTCCGTGACTTCTCAAAAGGCAAAGGGTGCTGGGCTTAGCAAAAAGGAAAGAGAATCGTTGCTGGCTTCCTTTTTGCTAAGCTCTGTGCCTTCTCAAAAGGCAAGGAAAAGTGGCAGTCACTTTAACAGCCACTTGCCTTGCCTTTTGCCAAGCAAAATGGGAGCCCTTTGATCCCTGCTTCTTTCTAATTTGGGGTAGAAAAGGGGGGAATCGTCTTATAAATCGGGTCATCTTATAAATGGAAAAATATGGTATGTGTGACTGAATCCTGGCTTGACACACCCACAAGGGCCTCAACCAGCCTCCTTCCCTGTTAGCAAGCCTCCCATTCTGGACTACTTTTCACCTCCTTCTCTATACCCCTCCACTCGAAAATTCACAGGACACCCAGCTGAAGGCTTTACCTGAGGAACTGGTCGCTGGTGGTTCCGCAATGCATAAAGGAATTGGCTATCACAGTGGCTGTGTGGCAGACGGAATTCCGCACCGCGTCCTGGAAAGAGAAAACAGCCAAGTGTCACCCGAAAGCCAAGGAGGACAGAAAACCTCCTCCAGAGTGAAGCACCTTGGTGGGGATGGGGGGGGAGCACACTCTCTGAACAGGGACACACTCAAAAAGACAAGATGCAGAGGGAAGGAAAATAATCTGAGAGTCCAGGAGAGACAGGTAATAGTGTTAGAAAGAGCATCCCCACCAGACCGAATTTCCTTTTGTATGTGTTCTTAAGCCACAGCTAGTTTGTTGACACTCATTTCACAAGGTAGGCTTCAGCAGTATGTGGACCGAGAACTCCCAGAAGTACAAACTGGATT